TTATTTGCTAGAACAAGGTATATGTTCGACTCCCCGTTCTCCGCGGTCTGTACTAAACGTCTATTATCCCAATCCATCACCTGTGTCGTGTGATCTTCAAGGTCTACAAGACGTTGAAGGACGTAGACTTGGTCAACATTATCCAATTGGAGAACGAACTTTCTGAAAGTCCTTGAAGACAGCCTTGTTACTAGGTTAAGGCAATTGACCATTCACAATTCATTACAGAATCGTGTTCAAGGTTCTGCGCGTGGTTCGAAAATAACACAAACGAGTTTAAACCTGTGCTCTATCGAAGCAGAACTTAGTTCATTAACGTCGAAAATATGCGGTCCTAGGCCTGGGTTATTAGCTAGCATTCCCATTGACAAGAAATCAAGATAACTCGAGAGTTAGTCGAGTGTAGTACCACATGTTTTGCTTGTATGAAAAATATACGAATATACATGTAACAAGTCGTTTCTATTTCTGTAACTTTAATTACACATTCATAGCCTCGTACCTGAAGATGGCGTCATATGGTTGCAACATGTCGTAGAATTAACTTCGTGAAAGTAGTTCTTTTTGAATTAATTTCTTGAGAAGTTGATAGTAGCACGCTCAGCTAGTCAATAAATTCCCTTGCTGGACAAGCCTCAAGACGTTTCCGTACCAACAAAATAGTGCTATAAATTTATCTAACAACATTCCCAGCCCATCTCAGTTGCATTGATATCCTGACAGTTCTAGGTGGTCTCTATAAATTTGGAGATTTCGCGTTATGTAATATGAATTTACCCCTTAATTTGTCTTAGGTAGTCTAGCGGTGGTCTAGCGGTTAGAACGCTGGCCTTGTAATCGTGGGGTCTCGGGTTCGAATTTATAACTTGTGGTGGTCTAGGCAACACGGAGTTTTTCTCCGTGGCATCCCAACAATTACTCCATTCACACACAGAAGAAGGCAATTGCAAACCACTTCTGGATCATCTGCCAAGAACGTATATGAACAGGTCCCAGTCCGAGAAAAGGATGGAAGGATCCTGTTCATATGGACCTGTCGTCAGACAGGCAAAGCTAGAGAAAATTGCTAAATGAGGGGTTTCATGTGTTTTAATCTTCAGTAGCAGTGGTCAGATCAATGATAGGGACATACATGAGACTGAAATGTATCGGCATAGATAGGAAGATAATATTAAAATTGCCGTTCAAAGGAACAGGGTGTCGAGTGGATTCGAGTGTCTCAGGTTGAGACCCTCCAGCAGCTAAACAACGTAACAGATTAGAATCCTTGAGAAGCTTATAGTCGATAAGCTGGCCAATATATCTCCTGCCTTTTCATTACCATGTACGCAATAGCCCGTAAACCGGACCCTGACCTGAGGTTGATTAATTCGGCTTACATACGCAGTATTTTACGATAACTTTTATAGTCTGTTTCCATTTACGTGTGGGTTTCTGATGTGTTCTCTTGCCTTCAGAAGCCTGTTAATTGTGTGGGTGGTCAATGTATGCTTTTTTTCCAGACTCGTCTTGCTTCTTCTCTCCGATTAAATTATTCTAATATTCAGGTTTCTTGCGCCGTGTAGTCTGGTAGAAGTTTACCATCGCTTCAGAGCTCCTTGCTACCTCTATCATCAGAGCGACGAGTATTCTAATCACTACTCTTTTTCACGCTTATACTGAGACACTAACGCTTAAAAGCTATTAAAATACACGTTCATTTTGCAAACACCGGTGAGCGTTTATTTGCTAGAACAAGGTATATGTTCGACTCCCCGTTCTCCGCGGTCTGTACTAAACGTCTATTATCCCAATCCATCACCTGTGTCGTGTGATCTTCAAGGTCTACAAGACGTTGAAGGACGTAGACTTGGTCAACATTATCCAATTGGAGAACGAACTTTCTGAAAGTCCTTGAAGACAGCCTTGTTACTAGGTTAAGGCAATTGACCATTCACAATTCATTACAGAATCGTGTTCAAGGTTCTGCGCGTGGTTCGAAAATAACACAAACGAGTTTAAACCTGTGCTCTATCGAAGCAGAACTTAGTTCATTAACGTCGAAAATATGCGGTCCTAGGCCTGGGTTATTAGCTAGCATTCCCATTGACAAGAAATCAAGATAACTCGAGAGTTAGTCGAGTGTAGTACCACATGTTTTGCTTGTATGAAAAATATACGAATATACATGTAACAAGTCGTTTCTATTTCTGTAACTTTAATTACACATTCATAGCCTCGTACCTGAAGATGGCGTCATATGGTTGCAACATGTCGTAGAATTAACTTCGTGAAAGTAGTTCTTTTTGAATTAATTTCTTGAGAAGTTGATAGTAGCACGCTCAGCTAGTCAATAAATTCCCTTGCCTTTTTATGGAACTCCTGGGTACATTACTGTGTCTACAATAGTCCCTGCCCTCAGCCAGCCGAGTAAAGTCTGCATTTCAAAACCACATTTCGCAAATATAAATTTAATATTATCCTTCCATCTTTGCCTAGGTCTTCCGACTGTTCTATTTCCTTCAGACTTCCCAGCTAGAATTATGAACGAATTTGATATCTCCGCCCTTCGCTGTACATATACACTGTCCTTCTCACCCCCTGACGAAGACGGGGTGGGGTGATGGGGTTAATTATGAGCCTTTCTTACGTTCGGTGTATTTAAACGAGGATTAGATAACTAATTTTTACGTAATTCAAAACTTGGAAGCAACACTGAGCTAATCCAAAGTTCGTTAAATTAATTACCGAGATTAAGTTGAAATGTTGGTTGTTATATGCTCTGAAATACACTAATTTAGCTTTTACAAACCTCGCGCGAATTCACTTGCCTGTGTATATAGTATATGTAATAAAACATTGGTATTTTTATTATTATTTAATTATTACACATTTCTCACGTTGTGAGTTAGTCCACTTTTACTCCCAGATCTTCAGCGTTATATTGGGAATGCGGTTTATAATGTTTGAGGGTCGTTGTTGGTTTCTCGCCTCTAATTGCACTGTTAGCAAACATGCAGCACTTACACTTTGGTTGGTGGGGGCAGAATAATAACATGAAACGCTCGTTAAAAAGGTCCTTGAAATGATGTAATAAAATCTAAACATTTATGCACTTTTGGTTTAACCTTCGTCAGCAAAAACGAAGTTTTTGCTTGTAGGCCGGCATTTGAATACCAAGTGATCATCGTTCTGTAAATTACAACTTTCTCTCTATCATCATCATCAGTGGCTCCAGAGCCCTAGACGGAGCTTGGCCTCCTCCTCCCATATGGGAGGTTACCTGATCTATTTAGACATTTGGTAGGACTCCTTGGATGAGTGATCAGCCCGTCGCAAGGCCTCTGCCTGTACAGGACAGCACAGCACAGAAATACGTGAATAAACATCCATGCCTTGTGAACTATGACCACGCCCCATCGAAACAGCAATCATCAGTGAAGAAGTTTCTGTAGTGGGGGTGGCGGAATGGTCTGATTTCTCGATTATTTATTTTGGACAGATCTATTGTTTATCGGTTGGTAACAGTTATTTTTTTTAAAACGCTATCAGACTGCAAGCAATTTCAAAATATAAGCGTATCTCTTCAGAGTAAGATTTATGCATTGTCACATACGTAATTTATTTATTTCTAACAAAACAACAATACATTCCAAAAGTTTCAGAATATGTATTTAAAAAAAATATATTTGTTTATCGATTCAAAGTGTTACCGGAAACAGCATGTTTTGTAATACCAAAAAGGAAATTCCTGTCTGTCCGGTGGTTTTGAAACTGATTTGGATTTAATCGGATTTTCCAGGTTTCTGACTTTGGTGCCACACATCGTGTTAAATTAATTTTGTTATTTTATCTGTCATGTAGGCGTGTTTGAAACTACAATGTTTCGAGAGTCGGTTTTACTTCCGTCATCAGGTGAAAGAATAGAGAAAAAAATACAATCTATTGGGTTAGTCCAGGTTTGATGCTGGCTTACCTGAGACCCCCCCCCCACAGATTTTTTTCTATTCTCTCACCTGAAGACGGAAGTAGAACCGGCTCTCGAAACATTGTAGGCGACGGATAAAATTAAAAAAAAAGGTTAGCACAGTGAGTTTAATTTGGACGTCCTGTCCAGTGCTGCAGCTGCTTACAAAATCCGACATGAGGACAGTGAAAGCTTTCCTTTGTCGCAAACAAGAAGTTGCTGTGCGTTAGGAGAAACATAACAGCGGGAAATAAAAGTGTTCTGCACCGCTAGAAACTTTTTTGCCGTCATTACTGTTAAATAAGTGGCAAGATCTGATGATAAAATTGCAGGCAATTAATATTCTTGTGTCGTTAACACGCGTTTTGAAAGTGAGAAAGGAAAACTGAACATTAGGCCACCGTTTGCACAACCTGAGCGCCAAATCGATGTGCTGTCGTCCTTAATACAGGGTCGACGTTGGTCTTTCGGGGTGTAACATTGTATGAATTTATAGTTAAATGCTAAGGATTCGGAGGAACATGCCGTCTCCATCATTTGAGCTGAAGATAGAAGCAGTAAGCTTATGTTTATCCTAATCTTTGTTTATACGTAAGTTAGTATGCACGTCCTTCATAACCCAGAAGAGCGAAATGGATATTTTCGTGGACTGGAACGTGTCTAGTCTCTTATTTAATGGCGTGTTACACTATGTTTGGAGTTTTGACAAATTTAGTATAATTTCTGAGATACGCGTGTATTTATGTGAATGGTGTTGGGATGTTTTTTAACTTAAAAAAAGGAAATATAATAATAACCTAAAGATATGTTTTATATGCTTATGTTACTTTGATGAAATTATAATTTTTATTTAGGAACTGTGAAAACTGACAAGATCGCAGTGTTTGGAAGTTATTAAATAGAACTTAGACAGAATTAGACATTTGTGATACAAATTTGTGTGTGAGAGAGAAAGGGAGAGCGAGAGAGAGATGAAAAACGTTGTTGTCATTGGCCGAGTTTTTCTAGACTACTTAACTTCTACCTTGAATCTTTGAATGAGATGTGGACTTACCTCAATGCTGTAAGATTTCTTGATGGCGAACATCTCGCGGTTCTTCTGTGCAGCAGCAACGGCCATCATGGTGTGTGTTGGTGGTTGCGGAGTGGGACGGGGGAAGTTGTAGCTGTGGGTGATAACTCCGAACGCCGAAAACTCCAGCCTGAGACGTTTCTTCCTGTATCAACACGCGAGGGGGTCGTCGTCACAACTCGGTTTGCAGAAGGAAAGAACGCAGTGGTGGTATTAGGCTTCGAGTTGGGAATTATCCTGGAGAAAGCTGGCGCACGACCACTGACTTGACCGACTGAAGAGACGTAGAATAAGAAGATACTGGTTAGTAGTTAGAGGTATTTCCCTCCAGTCTCTTCCCAAGTCCGTCTGACGTACACAGCTGTTTCTCGGCTGGAAGCGACAAGCGACGCAGGTACTGTTCGCGGTCTGCCCATGCTTTTAAACACCTGACGTGATATTTGCGTTCTCCCCCCTCCTGACCCACCACTCGTACCCTCCAGCTCCCAGGCCCCTTCCTTCCTGATCCCGGCTCCTGGATGTGGTTGTGGAACCCAACTCGCCTTTACTGTACTCCCACCCCGAGCGTCTCAGAACCAACTTTTCCCGCCACGACGCGTCATTGCAGATAGCACGGACACGCCTTCAAGATGCAATATGATTGGATGCTTTCAAGGGGTTAACCCCTCCACTAGCCAATCACCTGGTGACCTTACCAGCATTTCGGACTTGCGTGAATGAATGCATAGAACGGACAGAAACAATGGAATCAGGAGAGGCGAGTAGAATCAGAAAATTGGAACGGAGAAGGAGAATGATTCACTTTAAGACGAAAAAAAAAATAGCCTTGGGGTCCGGGTATCCTGTATGTCCGTGTTGTCTCCACCCTCGTTAATTGATGACGTCAGACGTTGCGGGGAAGCACAGACGTTTGCAACCTGGAACTTCAGGACGCGTGGGCAGTCGAGGTTACGACGGAGTTGCCTGGAACTGACGAATATGTGTGTTGAATGGATTGCACACTCGAAGGTCAGTCGTGTCACGAAGTGTAGCACGCCCCGTTCGGCGGAATGCTGGTTGTTCGTAAATATCAGGCAGGAGTGCCGTTATTTTGCCAGATAAAGCTGCTAATGGGTCGCTACTCGTTCTGGCAACGACGAATAACTTGTGTCCGTGTCGCGTTATCCTTCTAATGTTCCTGGTCTGTACCTGTGTTCAGCTAAAATCTTACTCATTGTTTTAATAAGGGTGTGAATCCGTCACATTTCGCTGAAGATGCTATTAGAACAGGCCACTCAGGATTGTGTGACGACCTAAGGGGGGGGGGCAATAACAGAGAGACGGAGAAAAATGCTTAAGGACAAACCGAAATTTCATAACCAAATATTATTGGGATTATCAGATAAACGACAATGAAACTGGCGGGAAATTGACCAAGGATGTGATAGACGTATTTAAAATCTTGACAGGAAAATCTGAAATGAATTAAATACTTGGGAAACAAAGCGTAGATGGGATAATATTAAAGTGGATGTTAAAACAGGACACGAGGCTGTGGGGTACAACGTATGACTCTGGATGGGGAACAGTGGTGGACTCCCGTGAACAGAGTAATGAACCATCAGATTCTATAAAAGGCGGGACATTTATTTTATAAACAATAAATATATATATTGTTTAAATCTTGTCCGTCTAATCACAATAAATTCTTATTAATATTAAAATATTACAATAATTAACATTTAAAATATTTAAAATATTAAATGATGTTCTTTATCGAAATATTCGATTTTGGTCTAATGTAAATCGAATATTTCGATAAAGAACATCATTTAATATTTTAAATATTTTAAATGTTAATTATTGTAATATTTTAATATTTAATAAGAATTTATTGTGATTAGACGGACAAGATTTAAACAATATATATATATATATTTATTATATCACAATATGACGCAACTTTACCATCTCCGCACTGACTTCGCAAGAGCCCATCCCTTGTCAGTACACGGAAATGACAAAGTTCGGGGAAACGCACTTAAGGATTGCGAAGTGGAAAGGACATGACCACTGACCAGGCACAGGCGCGTACTTTGAAGCCTGGTCCACTTTACCGTGATTAACTCTCTTTCCGAGGTCGATGCTGTTCTTTTTTTTATCAAGAATAATTGGTGTCGTCACTTCATAAATGTCCCGCGAAACATTTTACTTGTGAAGGTTGTTTCTCACTTAGGCCTTGAATATTTTCTACGTCCATATACCCCCAGCGTGCTAATTATACACATCACTGATTTTTCGCTTTTTGCACTGCATCTCGTTTGCTTTTAATCTTGTGTCTCCGTGAATATTTTCTTTCTGGTGACTGCAGTATCGGGTCTGTAATGATGCCAAGATTTCGTACACCCCGGCATTTTCTTGGGTACGTCGACGTTAACTCCTGGGCGTGACACTGGATTCAAATAGACAATGACAGGATTTTAATAAGACCTACTAACTTTTTTGGGGAATTAATAATAGGTGCTCAGGCAAGGGATTTTACACCTTTTATGGAAACAAAAGTTTCGGTTCATTACTGTGATCACAACAGCTCACCATCGGTATTTTGTCCTGAGCCGGATGAATCCAATCCACATCTATTTCATTCACATTTCCACCTAGGCTTAGGTTTTTCAAGTGCCCTGTTCCTTTCATCTTTCTGATTAAAATTTCATTTCTCATTAATTTGATTTGATGATGATGATGATAATAATAATATTCCATTTTTTCCACCATTTTACAGGGCATGTACTTCTTTGTACCTGATACAAACATTGCCCCTGAGGTACGAAGGGAAGTAGCTATTTCTGAAATAAATTTGTTTTTTAATACGTGTTATTATTATTATTATTTAAATAGTAAGAACTGTGAAGATGTTAGTTGCGCGATTTTCTCCAGCTTCCTGTCAGTTTCTCCTCGGACACCACAGCGGACTTCCTCTTATTCGCGTGTCACCCGCGTCTCTTCTTAAGCTGCTTGGTGCCGTTGCGACAAGAAGTCGTCGAGATGTTGAAACGCACGCTGGACCTAGTTGATGACTGCAGGAAAAATACGTCACGTCGGTTTCAGGTGACGTAGACTTCCTCGTAGAGGAATTAGGAGTCGTTATACCTTGTGATCCGAGTGCTATGTTTGGATCTCAATTCGCCTGAAGACAAAAGTTTCCTCGCTGAAGGTTCTTTCCCGGGAATTCCTAAGCCTGCGGTAGCCTACATGTGAATCACTGCGTGCACTCCGAGGTTCACGACCGCCGCCATCTGTGACTGACGTCACATTTTAAAGAGTGGTAGGGCGACCTGTCTTGACTTTCTCTCGGGATGTACCGTGTTTGAATCTGAGGTGGTAACCGTCTCCTTCTCCCCAGTCTAATTGCGAGATAATGCTTCAGAGTTGGTCATGCCTTCGATGGGGGTTCGGTCTATCGGGAGGCCTCTGCCAACTCAGGACAGCTGCCTCGAGCCGGATTCGAACCAGCGATCCCAGTCGAGAGCCTTATCGCATGGGCCTTTTAACTGGCACGTGAATTTGAAAATCTGTTTTATAAAGACAATGTACATCACATTTCATCCGGGTGGAAATTGTTTTGCCACAAATTTCGTGAAGTTTTTACCACAACGAGAAATATTTAAAGCAAAAATACTGGACTTTAGTCAGGTCTGTATTTCATGATGTGTGATATTTTTCTTTTGATATTGTTTTGCTGTTTAGAAAATCGGTAAAGGAATTTGATTTGACCCTCGGATAAAGTTGAGGTTCATAAGGTAGTATATTTGCGTCATATTGTGAAGTAGGTTAATATTTTAATATTTTCCGTCAAATCACAATTTTTAATAAGATAATAAAATATTTAAAATATCATTTCACGTTCCGTATCGAATGATCGATTTACAAATTGGAACGTTTCTCTTACGACATGTTTCGGTTATATGTAACCGTCCTCAGGTATAAATTAGATTGGTAAATTTAAAACTCGAATTACAATCCTTTACAATGTTATGCAGTTTATTGAAATGTTCTTATCAGATTACTCTTATATATTAGAACGAAGG